TGGGAACGAATCAAACATGCAATAGAATTTTTATACAACGCGACCATCTATCAATCATCCAAAGGAAATGAAGGAAATGTATCAATAAAAATCGTATATGTGGATATTGTGAATATGTTTTAAATCACATCCCACCGGTCAAGACACCTCCTCAAACGTTAAACATTAAAAAAACCAAGGAACTACGTAACTCTCTTGTGTGTTTGTAATACAACATGGCCGGACGAAAGCCGACGATGCGTCGATAACAGTATCGCAGTTTATCATCAACTATTGTTCTCGTATAGCCTACAACTAAAGTATCATCTGCCGCATACTTTTATTCTATTTACACAACTAATAACACCGTACTAAAGGAGTCCCACGGAATTGACTCTTTGTGACAAATTTGAATCAACGTCAAAGCAACCTCCTCACCAAAATTTCCCACGAGAATTCCATCGTGACTTTGGCATCTTGCAGACAATTTTGAACATCAAGAGCAACGTGATAAAGTTTCCAGTTGCCATATCAACTTGTTATTGGTCATTTTATTTTTTAATGTCTATTCCAGTTACTGAAGTTTTTCGGAAAACGCACTTGCCAAGGTCATGCGGAAATCCTTATGGGAATCCTGTATGAATCTTTCGGGAATCCTGGTGGAATTATCACAAGAATCCCTGGTTAAAATTTCGTTTCGGGAACCGATCATGAGACCAAACAAAACAAAAAAGTAACAATAGAACCGATAATCTGTAAGGTGGGGAAAAAATGTCATTGCAAAAAAAAATTAACGCGTAAGAAAACCGCTCAAACAGCAATACGCACGCAACGTGTAACACATGCGTGTACGTAACAGTACATTGGAATCCCAATAAGGCACGCTATCATCGTCATCATCGCTTCGGCCTCTCACTCATGTATACACACAAATGTAGGAAATATTATATGCGCGCGTAATAGACGAAGGAGAAGGAGAAAAAAAGGGCAAAAAAGAGCGAAAAAGAGGAAAAAACGGTCCCCCAGCTCATCCGGGCAAGGGCGCCTCCTCGTAAAAGTCGGGCTCGTCCTCCTGCTCGTTGTCTGGGTTTTTGCTGTCGAGCGCCCTGAGCTCAGCCGGGCTGAACACGTGCCTCATCTGGGCTCGCAGGGGTATCATGAGTATGAGGAAGAACGGCAGGGCTAGGGCGGCCTTGGTGCTCTTGACGATCCACAAAACGGCCAGACAGCCGATCTGTATGGTGGTGAAGAGATGCATCTTGTAGGTCTGAACGCGGCGCACGTAGTTTGCCGTGCCGTGGTGCTTGACGGGCATGAAGAACAGCTTGACCCGGTCGAAGAGCTGGACCCCGTTGGTCGACGAGATGCCCATGTAGAGGAAGACCCCGAGGAGCACGGATATGGGGATGCGGCGCAACAGGGGTGCCATGAGGACACTCACGCCCACGAGGATGGCCACAAGGAGCGAGGAGACGCGTTGCTCCTTCACCTCGACTATGTGGGGCTTGTCGCCGGGTGCGTGGGTGCGGGACATCACGGTCACGGCGTTCACGTGGGTCAACGAGCGCACCGAGGCGGCGCAACACCACGGCGCCCCGAACATCCCGCAGCCAAAGTTCATCAGGCAAACCACGACGATGTCCATGTGGTAGCCGTTGCCCTTGCGCAGCTTCCGCTCCTTTTTGTCGATTATCAATCTACGAAAGGATACATTACGCCAATGCATCAGTATATATATATATGGTCAGTTTTTGGATTTTAGATTACCGATCATTTGCGCTACGATTTTGTAAATAAATTCAAATCTAGGTAAACTTGGGGAAGAAATTGAAGAAGAATATTGAAACTACATGCGAGCATACAAAACAATGATTATTCCATCAAGTACAATGCAAACTTAATTAATTGCCATTTAATTGTACCACAAACGCGATCCATCCGTAAGTTTTTCTCTTGATTCTATGTTTTTAGTTTTAAATTATAATTAATAATCATGCATGCATTTTTCAACAATGAGTTGATCAACGGATAATACTTTTTAATTTAATTAAAAAACCACCAATTTTACAGCATAAATTTTATGTGGTGAACTGAAATTATTCTAGTTTCCCTCCCCCACCTGTACATACATAAATAAATAAATGACTCACTCGGAAATCTGCGTCTCCATGAAAACTAGGATGTAGACGAGTAGGGCGGGTATGCAGCAGAGCATGGCGGTAACAAAGGGCACGTTACCGGGGGTGATCAGCCAATCGCGGCCAGGCACGGTCGGCGACACCCCCTCGGGCACGAGGAGCTTTTCCGTCTTGACCCCGGCCAAGTAGTCGATCACGACGAAACTGACGATGCTGATGGGCACCCCGAAGTCGCCGAAGGCCCGCCGCGCGCTCCTCCCGAAGTAGTGACTGTTGCGGAAGATCCTCAAGTAGTACGCCCCGAGGAAGGTGCCCAGGCAGAGTATCGTGCACATGAGGGCCGTGTTCGGCTGGTTGATCAGCAGGCCCAGCTTGTTTTGGCCGGCAATTATGGAGCACTGCTGTTGGCTCAGGGACGAAGCGATCGCCTCTACCGGCTGGTCCTGGTACAAACCCACGTCCGAGAAGAAGAGGTTGGTGTCGTTGTTGGCGTTGTCGTTATAGCTGTCGGCGTCGGACAGGTGGGCACTGAGCTCGGTGAGGTTCTTCGCCGGCTGGGCTATCAGGTCTTGGTAGATGCTGCTGCCCAGGGCCGTTTGTTGTTGGGGGTGCTGCTGGGTGGCGTTGCTCGAGCCGAAGCAGTACTCGGGGAGCAGGGGGTTCTTGTGGAAGTAGTTTACGAGCTTTATGAAGGTCTCGACGATGTACAGGAGCGATATCAGCCCGGTGAAGATTTCCTCGGTGAACCGGGTAAAGAGTCGCACCTGTACGGGGGATCGCGGGAATTAGTACTTTTTGGCCAGAGTGGCAAATTCGACTCGAGGAAGTTTTTTTTCTTTTCCTATCCCCCTATGTGTCCTTGTGTGTACATTGTCATGAACATTTTAAGCTTTAAACCCTTGATAATTGTTTCTACGACTTTAGAACATTGCCAAATAAATACATGAAATTTTTAATGTGAATAATATTATGTAATAACTATAATGAAAAATAAAATAATACAGTTTTCGTGTAATACACGCTTAATACGTAAACCTCCAATAGTGCACCTATATTTTTATAATAAAAATGCTTGGTTTTTCCATGATGAATGCATGCTCTTGACAAATCACAGTGGTAATACCAGTAATAATAATAGTAAAAAATATTTTTTAACATCTAATTTAATGTTTGTTGAATGTAACTCTTGAATATTTTATGATTTAAAAAAATATTTGTATACATTGGAGAGACAATCACTCACGCAGTATAAATATTGAGCATGAATATAAACAGTGCCGATACACTAAAAAAATTTACTACCCAAATTTATCCCAGTTTAAAGGTAGAAATTACCTTGAATTTCTTCACATGTATATCAGGTAGGTTTGATAAAAAAAAACAGATTCTCACCAGCACGGAGCCCTCGACGCAGGCAACGAGCAGCGCGATAATGGCCATCCAAGCCCCGATGTACATCCTCATTGGCAAAAAATCGAGATTGTTGGTCTGGCAGAAGTAGTAGAGGCTCTCGTCGAACAGCAGTAGCGGACCCGTCGTGCCGATAATGACGAGTGGCTGAGTCGCAAATAGCGCCATTATTATCCCCGTGCAGCAACACGAGAGCAGCGTCTCGGAGATGCCGATGATGTTGTGGGTCTTGTCGCTCATGAGTCCACCAAAAGTGATGGCCGTGCAAAGGGCCGCGAAGTACATGAAGATGGCTGCGGCTAAGCAGGACGAGTTCAGGCCGTCCTTGAAGTCGGAGAGGTAGTGCGGGTAACGGCGCATCGCGTCGTTTATTAGGCCGCCGAACGGGCGTCGAGTGCGACGCAGGGGGTCGTCGTCGTCCGGAGGCTTCTTCTCGTCCTCCCCGGCTATCAGGGCTAATTGAGATTTGAATAAAATTTCTTTTTTTTTTTTTTGTTTTTGTTTAAAAAGTATCCTCATCTGGCCGATAGTTGAAAATTAATACTTCAGTTATTTACTTTCACGAAAGAGTTGACCGAACAATAAACCAATTCTTTGAATCAAAGACAATGTCTATGCTTCTATTAATTTTTTCTTTTTTTTAATTAAAGATTCAGTTGGTTTGAAGAAACATACATTTTACAATAAGATGAATAATTTGGAATATTTTCTTTGATTAATTTAATTTTTGTTTGATTAAAAAACAATTTTAGAAAGTGTGATGATAATAATTAAAATCTCGTTGGAAATATGAATCCTCATTTCATTCCGTAGTACGACGTAGTACGCTCGACATAATAAATGAAAATACTCGAATTTAATTAAAATTTCCTGATGCGAATCGTATATATCTCACGAGAATCACGATGAAAGTCAAATAGCTACAGCGTATTGTGCCAAACAAAGCTGCATCATTATACGGTCACCTACGCTCACACTAGGGCATGTGTACTTTTTTCAAATACTTAGTATTGCAATTTTTTTCTAAAAAAAAATAATTCATCGTACTGTGATTTTTCTTCTTCTTCATTATTTATAACGGTAAGAATGGTGCAATATATATTCAAAGACGAATAAAAATTTATTTTCCGGTAAAATGTATTGTTCTATTTTTTTGCATAAAAAAAAGGATTGAGTTTTAAATTATGTAACAATAGAAGTATGAAAAAAAAGACGTTAAAAATGTAGAAAATAGTTTCATTGGAATCCACCTCCGTTATACCAACGAAGCAAAATAAAAATTAAAAGGAATTACCTTTCTTAGCCGCGGCGAACTCGCTCTGGGCCTGTTTCTTCTTCTTCTCCTCGATGGCCTTGGCCTTGCGTCTTCGGATGGCCTCGCTCTTGGCCTTGAGCTCGTCGAAGGGCAGCAAGGCCTGGCGCTCCCAGTCCCCGGGCGGCAGCACAATCGAGTCGTCGAGGAACTCGTTTATCGCCGATAAGAGCTCGCGCCTCTCGTTCGCCTTGTAAGCGACCTTGTGGAACGACGTGTTCGACATCAGAGTCGAGATGGACCGACCGATCTCGTGGTAATCGAGATCGCTGTTGCGGGGACCCAGTAGCGTGAACATGAAGCGTACCGGGATCTTTACCTCGGTTATCGCTGGCATCAGGATACCTTTATGGAAAAAAGAGTTTTTTCGTCTAATATTATATTCATGGTGTTTGCAGGAGGAGAACGTAATATGAGCCATTGGCGTGCTCAAAGTGTTTTATACATGATTTGTTTTAACGGAGAGTTGTAGGTTCACTTCAGGGTCCGTGCATTTTTAGTCATGTTTAAGGAAAATTTTCAAGATTTTTTCTATACTTTTTTAAATGTTTCCATAATTGTCATGATCTCTGAAACCTTTTGAAGCCATGAAAAGTCTCACACATATATTTACAAATACTTGAAAAAACATTCAATAGTTTCCAATGACTTTTAAAAACACCTTGGAATACTTTTTGTAAGTTACTATATACAATTTTGAAGTCATGAGGCTACTTCAAACTCAATCAGTTAAATTCTGATATTCTTCACTAATTTTGGGAGCGTTCAACTTTATTTTTTCTACACAACCTTGGGATGAGAATAACATAATGCTCACACCAGAGTTAAACAAAAACCCCAACATCTGCCTATAATTGGCCTAAAACGCGTATACACTCGCTTAGAAAGTTTTTTTTTCACGATGAAAATTTTATAGATACTCGGGTAGTAAAATAATCACTAAAAATCGTTTGATGAAAAAAAATAATAAATAAATAAAAAATTCCTCCATTATACCTTCGGCCAAACGTACGAAGGCGATGGTTGGCTGGTCGAGAAAATCGACAGCCCCAACGAGAACTACGGTTGCCTCTGCCCCAATGGGTATCCTCTTGAGGATGTACTCGTTGCAGTGGGCCTTCTTCAAGTCCTCGTTGCTCGTGGTAAACGTCATCTCCTCCTTCATGTCGACTGCCGTGTGATTGTTGTCCAGTGCTTGATTCGACGCGACGACCTTTGGCTTCGAGTCATGTAAGTTCTGAGGGAAAAGCACGCACACGTTCGTGCATGGATTAACGTGAAAAAAAAAACTATGTATTTTTTAATTTTGTTGCAAAACTCGAATGGTAAAAAAATCGATGTGGGAATATATACGCATGAATGTCGTTGTTTTATATGGGTATACAAAACTAAGGGTCAAACGAAATGCCAATCGAATAAAACAAATACTCGTAATGTCTACATGAGGTATTCTGATTCGTTTAATAAATTACACGAGTGTCCGTACTAGCAATACGATGGATCATTGATGCTCTGATTTTTTATATGAATGTTTATTTAAAGGTGTGATCATGTACCTTTTGAGATGATTAAAAACAAGATACTTGAACGACGCACTATTATTTAGCGAAAAAAATAAATAATACCATGTCGAAAATGATTTTCTACTTTTGATATAATTGAATCATATAATTCTACTGTTGGGTGTGAATTTTAAGTTACAATTTCACTTTTGAGTGAAAGTTGGATGAATAATAAATTGTGTGTTCACGTGCACAAGTGATGCATGCTTGCCGAAGGGCATTCATAGTTTTCGTTGAAAAAAAAAAAAAAAAAAAAACTTGAGTAAAACAAAGATTTCTTTTGTACAAAACCAAAGTGAATAATTGTATAACCATGACTTAAAGAAGTTGAATGTAATTAAAGTTAGTAAGTGAGTTTAAACACGAAAAATGTAAAAAAAATCGCGTAAAAATGGTAAAACATGTTTTACCTTGACTGTAAATCTAACTTTTAAACTATATAAAGGTAAGTAATTGAGTCTTTACGATAAGTTGAGTTAAAACCAAGATATACATATTTTATTGATTTGATAAAATTTCCAAATGTATGAGTAGTCTACGCTTTAAATTTCAAAAGTAACTAGTATGTTACTGCAACGACAAACAGTTGATAAAAGTATATTGTGCAGTGAAAAATAAAAATATGTATTTTACTAACGAAAAATCGAGTGTAGTATGCTCTGTGTATCCAAATTAATTAGTTATGGTTAAAAACACTTTTGTTAAATTAAAAAGGAAATAAAAACAGGACGATGGACAAAATAAGTAACTGAAGTAGCAGAAATAAATTTCATTATCTGGGTAAAACAAAATAATCATCGATGGATGTTGCAAACGAGTGCTACGAATTTTCTTATGTGAATTTACAAACTTTATAATTAAATTACAAATTGATTTATTGGCCAAATAATAGCAATTTTAAATTATAATAAAATCTTAAGTAAAGTATTATTTTTTTAGGGTAATTGGTATAAAATAAGTTATTAGAGCAAAATGCTAAATTATCATTAATTTCAATAATTGTTTATTATTACTGTGAATTTTAATTATTTACTTTTAGCCAAGTCGGGAGGTTAATATAATATTACAGATTTAATCACATACTTATTTTGCAAGAAATATATTTAGTATATTAAAAAAAATATTATATCTTA